CAGGTCAGAGGTCGACGGAGGACCAGGGCAGGGTGTGAGGACCAGGAGGGCGGAGCGGGACAGACGCTGGCCAGCGAGCACCCACGCGCGGGAGACAAGGCACGCAGGGCGTGCTCCACCAGGGGGCCTCGTGGAGCCGCGTGCCTGTGGGGAGGGCCTGGCGGGGGATGGCCGCAGCTCTGGGGAGTGGGGGTGGGCGCCCCAGGGGCATCCCTGAGCCCCTTGCGCCGCTCCCAGTGCACACTCACGGCCCACCGCGCCCCACCCCGGGGGATCCAAGGAAGTGGAAGCCCCTGACCGGAGAATGGAGACCCTCTGAGCCGGCTGAACCCACCCACCATCGTCCCGAGGCCTGCGCTGCTGGGTGCCCGGCCACACTTGGGGACCGAAGGCCTGGCCTTCACAGGGTCCAGCTGCCTGCCCTGGGCTGCTGCCGGAGCAGGTCCCTCAGCCTGGGAACGGCCCCCAGGAGATGCGCTGCGGGAGATTCAGGGGCTTCACAGAGAGCGGCACGGGGTAGCAGGAAGATGGCTCTTGCAGGCTCTCTGCCCCCCAGGTTTTGAGCCCCAGTGGGGACATCAGAGCTGGCTCTCGGGGCCGCACAGGCCTCGAGGTGCCAAGGAGGGTGGCTGAAGCCGCGCTCTCTAGGTGCCGGGTAGGGACCAGGGAGGGGGTCTGCACTGTGGCCCATGGCCACAGCTCATATTCCGGCAACAGGCCACGTGTGTATCTCCCTGCTGGGCCTGGGCCCCGCTGGACTCCTGCAGCGACAGGAAGGATCAGAGCTGGCCAGGCTCCTGAGTGGGCCAGCCTTGGCCGTGGTCCCCTTCCTCTGTTCAGGAGTGAGAGAACCCCCTTTCTTAGATTCCCTGCCTCCGGGGAGGCAGCTGGCTGGGGCGTCCATGAGGTACGCGCAGGGGTGGCGGGAGTGGCTTCAGTGTCCGTGGTGGGTCCAGGGCTGGGCCTAACCCAAGGCTCCACTGCAGAGGGAGGACCTGGAGGCAGGCAGAGCGCCCGAGGGGCCACACCAAGCCCTGCCTCTGTGCCCAGCTCCCGCCTGACTTGGCCTGTCCTCAGGGGCACAAAGGTAGGAGGAGGCCAGCTCCAGAGAGCTGTGGGGCAGACAGCGAACCTGAGGTCTGGGAAATGCCCCAGGCCACCCTGAGGTCCAGGACAGTCCTCGCTCACTCTCCCAGGGCACAGAGCATGGAACCTCCAGAACCTGCCCTCCTAGGACAGGGGCAGGCTCGTGCCCCTGCGAGTGGACTGTGGTCTGAGGCCTGGGCCCTGCAGCTGGCCGGGGTCACCCGATGCCCACTGGCCCACGATGGCCTGTGCCTGCTCCTAGGTGCCCGTGTTTACCCCAAACAGAGGTGGGGGTGTGCTCAACAGTGCTTCTGGTCTGTGTGTGTGTCCTCGGGCCAGCTGACCTTGGCAATGGGCGCTGGGAGAGCAGGGCCGGGGGTGGGGGTCTGCCTCTGAGGCTGAGCCCACTGCTTCCCCCCCACCCTGTCCCCCCACGCCATCAGCGTCTGCTGTCTTTCCCTTCCCTCCAGCAGCCCCTCTGAGGTCCCTTCCCAAGCCTCCTCTCTGTGGCACCCCAGCCAGCTCACCTCCCACTACTGTCTCCGTCCTGAGCCCCCGAGGCCTGGTGCTGCCTGTCCGCCCTTGCTCGTGGGGCGGCCCCCTAGGCTCCCAGGCCCCCAGCGCCCCCTTTGTCCTTCCCGTCTGCCCCCCACAGGGCAGCCCATCCGTTTCCACCATCATTCCCTCAGAGGCTGCGGTCAGTTCCCACAGCCAACGACCTGGGAGTCCCAGGGCAGCTCAGCGCCCCCTGGCCACGGGGAAGCCCAGGGACATGGCACGGTCGTGCAGCAGGGCCGTGGGGTGCACACCTGGACTGCGGTGGCCCCAGGAGTCTGTCAGAGACATCCTCCACGCCATGTCGGGGGTGGCAGGAGCGGCCCCACACGGACCTTCCACGTGCACTGCAGACACGCAGCGCTCGGCTGTCTGGGGCCCTCCGTGGACCTGGCTTCTGGCAGGGACATCCTGGGCAGCTGGTAGAGCTCGCAGGGCTGAGCCCGGGGTGAAGGGGTGTGGTGGAAGTCAGGGAGATGCGTTAGGGGAGAGCCCCACTACTTAATTTACCGACGCATGATGTGAGGTCCAGGAGGGAAAGCCCCTGGCCTGGCGTCTCTGGTGTCCGCCCCTCACTGTCCCCAGGCGCCCTGCCACCCCCTGCCTGGGCTGTTTGGGTGGAGGAGCCAGGAGACATAAGTCTCTTCCAGATGCTCTGTGAGGAACAGGTGCTCCCGGTGGGGAGGAGGCTGCTGTCATTCAGCCCTGCCTAGGGTGGGCAGGACTGAGGCCACTAAGAGCCAGCTGCCCAGCGCCCCCCTCTTCGAGGCAGGAGGACAGTGGGGTGGGGCAGGGAGTGGGCCTTGGCCATGGACAGGCCCTGTGGATAAGCCAGTGCTTCTGCGGGAGCTCAGGGCAGGAAGGTCAGAGGTCCGGTGCCGCACACCCTGGGGGCCCACAGTGCCCTCTGCTGGTGGGAACAGCAGAATGGGCATCCCTCCGGGGGCTGGATCTCCTTGGGCCCCCCCCAGCCCCCCTCAGCCAGCCCCAGCCCACCCTCAGCAGCAGCTCCAAAAAGAAAGGACCCTGTCACCCGGGTATCCCCCAGGACAGGGCTAGACTCAGAACTGTGTTTTCCTTTTTATTCTTAGGGGAGGCACAGGCCCAAAGGGAGCGGTCCCTGCTCAGGGGGCGAGGGGCGCTGGTCCCACTGGCCAGTGACTACACCTGTCCCTGCCCCCGCCCCAGATGACAGTGCTGCCTAGCCCCCCTCTGCCACCACGGAGCTTGGGGTGTGGGGGCCTGGGTCTGTGCTTCTAGGGGAAGTTGGCCCCCTCATTCCTGCATCAGAGGACGGACCTCCAGAGGGGCTCGTAGGCAGGGCCTCTGCCAAGCCAGCCTCCGTGGGGCGTTGGCCTGTGCCCACGAGAGATGGTCCAGGGCCGGGTGCAGCGGTGGGGAGGGTGGGACCAGCCAGGCCCAGACCCCTCCGAGCCAGTCCGCCGGTCCGGTCCCTGCACCTCATCCATGGCCTGGGTCACTAACCCGGAGCACCCCAGACACGCCTCAGAGCCAACCACGGCACCAGAGGCCCCAAGTGCAGGCGTGGACAGCATCTCGTGCACCCTGGGGGACAGAACCACTGCCCTAAGCCACCTGTGTTTGGAGCTGGGCCAGAGTGAGGCTGGACAGGCCCTCCCAGGGCAGGTCCAAGCCCTGAGGCTCCTGCATACTCAGCGGGCTTCTGTTCCTAGGGGGGCAACAACGCCGGTCACACGGTGGTCGTGGATGGCAGGGAGTACGACTTCCACCTGTTGCCCAGCGGCATCATCAACACCAAGGCCGTGTCCTTCATCGGTGAGTGCCAGCAGCCGGGGGGCCCCGCGCGCGTCAGCAGGATGGGCCTGGGGTGTCATCCAGCCCGGGGCCCCCCTGCATGTGGGCCTGGACACGGCAGGAGAGCCGGGCTGGCCCACGGGCCTGGTCTGGAGCCTGTCCCGGGAGCCGCCCGGCCTGGGCCAGAGGGAGACAGGGTGGGAAGCCCCGCGGAGCGGCGTGTGCAAGCCTGTTTGCACGTGAGGGAGGGAACGTGTGTGGGTGTGAGTATGTGCGCAAGTGTGCTGTGTGGATGGGTGCGTGCAGGTGTGCAGGCCAGACTCCCGCTGCATGGGTGGAAGCCCAGCCTGCCGGCTCCCCCGGCCTCCCCATTCCCACAGCACTCCCTGCCCTTCCAGGGACCTCCGGCCTCTAGGACTGTGGGGTCTCTTGCTCTCTCTGCCTCTCTCTCTCTCTCTCCCCCTCCCTCCCTCCTGGCCTCCAGGCCTGACCTCCTGTCCTGCCCCCGGCTCAGCCTGAGCCTCCCTTCCCCAGAGCCGCCCCGCCCGGCCCCAGCCAGGCCGCCTGACGCCCTCCCGCAGTGTCCAGGACTATTCATCAGGCTCCTTGCACGACTGAGCGAGACCACCCTCGTGACTTATCTGCCCCCGCCCCTCCCTGGTTGTGGAGCGTGGGCCGAGGCTGCGGGTGTGCCCAGTGAGGGCACAGGGCCGGGCAAAGGGAAGGAAGCGTCAGCTGAGGGGCCGGGTGCGGTCGGACTGTGCAGGACGACAGACCGGGGCCGCTGCAGTGAGCAAGGATAGCACGGTGACCTCCCGCGGTTCACCCGGGGTGGGGGCCCGGGGTGGGGCTCTGCTGCAGCCTTCTCCAGGCCCAGCCTCGTCCGCTGGGCCCTGGGCCCCACTTGGTGGGAAACAAGGCCAAGGAGGCCCGCTTGATGAGAGGTCTCCACCCAGCGTCTGAGGAGCTGGGGTGGGTCAGGGCCAGCAGCTGGAGCCCAGGCTGGGTGGTCCCCGGGGAGCATCGCGGGGTCAGCTCGGTCAGCCCAGCCAGCGGCGTGCCCAGCCGGGGACGAACGTGCCAGAACTCACACGGCTGCCCCTCAGCTTGCGACATTCCCGGGGCCCCTGCCACGTGGTCATTTCAGGACGCCCTGGCATTTAGGTGACCTTTTGTACTCAGCGTGGCTTGCACAGTCTGAGCCACTCCCATCTGGACCCATGTCCTGTCTCCCTTGGCCGAGCCTGTGCCACCGGCAGCCCTGGGGGGGACCGGGGCCAGGGAAGTCTCCTCCTGGGAAGACAGCAGGTGGCCTGGCCCAGCCGCCTTCAGTCTAAGAGAAAAGCGCTAGCATTTTGCTTCAGCCTGGACCCCACACTAACATGCTGTGTGACCTGGGGCGAGTTACCTTCCTTCTCTGGGCCTCAGTCTCGGCCCCCGTGAAACATCATGGATCGCACTTCAGCGTTATATGGATAGGGAAGGCACAGCTCCCCAGAGGCCCTGCTCGGGGCCCGGGAAGGGTCGGGGCTGCGCGTCTCCTGCTTTCCCATTTTCACGCCATCCACGTAGACTGTACCAGCTTCACCGAGGTATAATTTATGTGCCATGACGTTCAACACAGCTCAGCCCCAGAGCACTGTCCTCACCCCAAGAAGAGTCCCCTCTGCCGTTTGCCGGCAACCCTGCCACCTCCACAAGCTCTCCTCTGCGCTCGGGCTCTGCACGTGCTTCCCGTTGCTTTGGTTTGGTTTGGGCCATTTCTTCCACTGTCATGAATATACACAACAAAAATTTTCCATCTTTGCCATTTCTAGGCATACAGCCCAGTGGCGTGAAGCACATTCACGCTGTTGCACACCCACCCCCACTGTCCGTCTCCAGAACTTTCCATCTCCCCAACCTGACACTCTGTCCCCATTGAACACCATCCCCGGCCCCCTCCCGAGCCCCTGGCGCCCCCCTCTACTTCCTGTCCCTGTGCATCTGAGCCCTCCCGGGACCTCCTCTGAGTGGACTCACACAGGGTGTTTGTCCTTTGGTGACCTGCCTGTGTCGCTCGCCATAGTGTCCTCAAGGTCCGCCCATGTTGTAACAGGTGTCAGAATCCCCCTCAACGTAAGTCACCGTGTCCACTGTACGACTCAGTCCCCTGTGATGTGTTGCAGGCAATGGGGTGGTCGTCCACTTACCCGGCTTGTTCGAAGAAGCAGAAAAGAATGAGAAGAAAGGTAGGTCCGAGTTCCGGCACGTGCACCCTGGTCCCGGGCAAGTTCCTAGCAGCGTGCTGGCCGGGGCCTCCCGCGTGGGTTCTTGGGAGGGGTCAGTTTCCCCAGCCCAGCAGCCCCCCCGCCGCCTCCTGCTGGCTCTGCTGTGAGAAAGCTGGGTCTGCACTTGGGATGCGGAGAGCAGGGCAGCCCAAGGCCCCAAAGTCTGGCTGTGGGCCTCAGTTTTATGGGGAGCTTTCATGACACTGGGGACAGGTGGCATCTGGAGGGTCCCACTCAGGGTGTCTGGAAGGGGCCCTGGGACCTAGAATTTGATGAAGCTCCCCAGGACACCTGGATGTCCAGCCGAGACTGGGGACCACTGGGCCAAGCACACCTACAGGGAAGGGTGTGGTTCCCGGGGGCTCCTGGGAGCAGGCAGCAACAGAGGCCACTGGCCAGGGTGTCTGGGCCCGCTGCCCCCCTGGAAAGGTTGTCTGGAGGTGGCAGCCCCAAGACCCTGATGGGGTCCAAGAAGGACGCGGGCCTCAGCCTCAGGGCTCGAGTTCAGGGCAGGAGTGAGAAGAGCCAACGGGAAACTGACCCTGGGCATGAAGCGCCAGGACAGAGGCCCTGCAGGGAGAGGTGGGGGGTGAGATTCTGGGGCCCTCAGCAGGGAGAGAGGCCGTGAGGGGAGGGCACACCCCCCGTGACCTTTGTGGGCTCTTGCCCTGGGTGGGGGCTGGGCCAGCGGCCCAGCCTCGGCCACCTGGCCTGTGACGGCTGACCGCCTGCCCTGTGACCGCAGGTCTGAAGGACTGGGAGAAGAGGCTCGTCATCTCCGACCGAGCCCACCTCGGTAAGCACACCCCGGCTGGGGGCGGGGCCGGTGCCACCCACCCCCCATGGGGGCCACCCCCCCCGTGGCCCTCCTCCCTGGCATGCTGAGCCCACATAGCTCCGGGAACTTCCAAGTGGGCAGCGGGTCGGAATCACAGTCCCCAACTGCAGATGGGAAAACGGAGGCCCGAAGGGACTCCCGGGCACGTGTGAGTCTGTGCTGGGCAGAGGCAGAGTCCGGTGTGTCCCCTTTCAAGCTGGACCACCTGTCCCGGGCAGCCCGGGTGTGCACAGGGGAGTCCCATAACCCTCTGTCTGTCTCTCGCTTGGGGACCACTCACCTGGCCGTGCAGTGTTTGATTTTCACCAGGCGGTCGACGGGCTGCAGGAAGTGCAGCGGCAGGCCCAGGAGGGCAAGAAGTGAGTGTATCCAGGGGCTTCTCTTGTCTCGCTGGCCTTCGAGTCTGGGAGCTCTGGGGTGTGCCAGGAGGGGAATGGGGTCCCCTTGAAGCCACCACGACCGGGGGCAGCCCAGCCTGACCACATACATGGGCCACCCAAACCCTTGCCCCACTAGCACCCACGGCCATTCCTTTGTCCTCCAAAGATATTTATGAAAATGTGCCGGGCACTGGTCCTCCAAGCCAGGTCAGGGTGAAACTGTGGCCGTCCTGCCCCATCAAGTGACTAGCTCCCTTGCCACCCACATGTGTGCATGCACTCACACGTGTGTGCACACTCAGACTCTGCACACACACTCACACACAGGTATGCCAGGTGGCAATGCTGAGCAGGCCATTCACCGAGCCTGGGGCTAGGGCGGTGGCAGGCAGTGGGCACAGGGTGGGCATGGCTAGCGCGCCCAGCCCCCAAGAGGCAGCAGCCGGCAGACGTGGACAGGAGCATCCTCAGTGCCTGGCCAGAGGGAAGCTGGGGGCCCAGTGCAGACAGGATTTCTCAGAGCCAAGGCATGGAATGACGGGAGGGTTTGGCTGGCCCAGAACCGCCGGCGGGGGCCTCAGCCCCCAGATCCCTGACAGCCAGCCAGCGGAGGGGGCCGGTGGACTCTCACCGCCGTCCCAGACTGCAGGTGCTACTGCTGGGGAGGGCGCCTCCCAGCTCAACCCTTGTTTATAATAGGGGTGCACGCAGGCGCCTGGGGGTGCTGGCCCGGAGCCCTGAGTGCCCCTCACAGGCCCCAAGCAGGCCGCCGGGCCTGGCCCCCCAGGCTCACGGCCGCCCTCTCTTTCAGTATCGGCACCACCAGGAAGGGGATCGGACCCGCCTACTCTTCCAAAGCTGCCCGCATGGGCCTCCGCGTCTGCGACCTCCTGTCGGACTTTGATGAATTTTCCGCCAGGTACCTGAGCCACCCGAGGGGGGACTGGCTAGTGCTGAGGGCACGGACACCCAGGCGGGGCGAGGGGTCGCAGTCACTGTCGCCCCCGCAGATTCAAGAACCTGGCCCGCCAGCACCAGTCCATGTTCCCCAGCCTGGAGGTGGACGTCGAAGGGCAACTCAAGAAGCTCAAGGTAGAGCAGGGGCGCTGGTGGGCTGGGGACGGGAACGGGGTGGGGGGGGAGGGAGGGGCAGTCGTGGAGGGGGTGGGACTGGGGGCAGGCGGGGCATGGCGCGGTGGGGGGAGCATGGTGGGGGAGGGTGCGACCGGGTGCAGTGGGGTGGGGGGCGGGGCATGGCATGGTGGGGAGCGGGGCGTGGCGGGCAGGCGCCACCGGGGCACCGCAGCCTTGCCAGATGCCCACGCAGCACTCAGGGAGCGCACTGTCCCAGGCACTGCTATGGGGTGGCTGGCCCTCTTGGGGACCACAGGCCTCCTGTGCAAGCCCAGGCCAGGGAGGGCAGGAAGGTGCCCCCCCCCCCACCGCCCAGGGCACACCCAGGCCCCTGGCTTTCCCACAGGGGACATTTCCCAGGACAGGCTGGGGAAAGAGGCTGTCCCTCTCCTACTTGGGGTAGCGGGTAAAGGTGGCCTTGCTGACTCATAGAGGGTAGTACCGTGTCAGGGTTGGGATGAGGAGACCACAGAGCCCTTCCGGAAGTTTCCAAGGCTGGGCTCCTGGCTCCTCCCAGCCCTCTTAGGGGAGCTGTGAATGAGGACAGGGCCAGACCAATGAAGATGTCAGTCACACTGGATTAGGGCCCACCATAGCCACCTCAATTTAATCCCCCTTTGAAGGCCTGTCTCCAAATACAGTCACATTCTGAGATGCTGGGGGTCAGGACTTAAACAGATGAGTCGGGGACTTTGGGTGGGGCACAATTCAGCCCATGGCCGCAGGAGACTAGTGCAAGCCTCACAGACAAGACCCAGACAGGACTGGGGGTCGCTCCGGGTCTCGGGACAGGTTTGCAGGCCAGGCCTCTTTCGGGAAAGGAATGCACTGGAAGTGTCTGGCTGTCAGGAGGGGCCTGGCCCCACCGCAGCCTCCTCTGCCTCCCCCACAGGGCTTTGCTGAGAAGATCCGACCCATGGTCCGAGACGGCGTCTACTTTATGTACGAGGCACTCCATGGCACCCCCAAAAAAATCCTCGTGGAAGGTGCCAATGCAGCCCTCCTTGATATTGACTTTGGTAGGTCCCCAGCCCGGCTGACCCCCATGATCCCCTTTCCTGCCTGCTGGGGACCAGGCTGGTCACTGACCCGATGTGGCAGGGCTGCCTTCCGCGGCCACACTGCCGCCCCGCCCATGACAGTGATCATGCTGCCCCTCATCTTCCTACTTCAGGTGGGAGGGACAAGAGAGAGCTGACCTAGACGGAAAGGGAGAGAGGCCAGAGCTGCGGCCAGGGCTCCCAGCAAGGCTGGGTAGAGCCAGTGCTTCCATCCGTGTGGGCCTTCTGTACGTCCTATCCCGAACCCCACAGCCACACCAGTGCCAAGGCCACATGGTACAGGCAGGGGAGGCACCCACCATCCAAGTCAGGAGGAGCCTTCTCCCTCTATTCACCCCCAGACTCCTACACAGGCTACAGCAGCCTGACACACAGTGCCCATGTGGGTCACTCCCCCAGGATGGTCTCTGGGACCACCGGCCCTGGAGACCCCACAGAGGGGACATGCAGGAGGCCGAACCACCCACCGCCCTCTGCCGAGCTGGAGCCCGGGGCCGGGGTGGCCTGCGGGGGTGGCAGTGGGCTCTGACCAGCTTGGTCTTGCAGGGACCTACCCCTTTGTGACATCATCCAACTGTACTGTGGGCGGCGTGTGCACGGGCCTGGGCATCCCCCCGCAGAACATAGGCGAGGTCTACGGCGTGGTGAAGGCCTACACCACACGCGTGGGCATCGGCGCCTTTCCCACCGAGCAGATCAATGTGAGTCCCCAGCCCCAGCGGGACCCCAGCAGGGGCGCCCAGTGGTGGTGTGTGCAGAGACACACAAGGCAAGAGCAGAGACAGGCATCCACAGGTGCACGCAAGGTGGCACGCACCAACAGCCCTGCACCACACAAGCTCCCGTGGACCCGGTTTCCCCGGGAAGCACTGCAGATGGGCGGAGTGCCTCACAGCCCCTCGGAGCACCCCGTGTGGTGCGGCTCAGGGACCTCCTCAGGGTGTCGCTGGCCGCCTTTTCTCAACATGGCCTTGTGCCCTTTGCAGCGAGGGCCCAAGGCTCTGGTCCTGAGCAGGGGTGCGTGAGGCCAGTGTGGGGAGGGGGGTGGAAGGGAGGGGGGCGGAGGCAGCAGAGAGAAAGGCTGAGCCCCGAAGCAGCCAGGCACAGGCTCCCCCTCCATGCCGCGGCGGGCCTGCTCTGCTGTCACACAGGAAATCGGAGACCTGCTACAGAGCCGTGGCCACGAGTGGGGGGTGACCACAGGCAGGAAGAGGCGGTGCGGCTGGCTGGACCTGATGATTCTCAGATACGCTCACATGGTCAACGGCTTTACCGCGTAAGCAGCCCTTCCCGCACGGTTGTTACGTGGGGGTGCAGGCCATGGATTCTCCCGTCCGGCACGGCGGGGCCATGGCAGTGGACGGCCTTAGAGCCGGACGGCCATCTGCTCCCAAGCACGTGCGGGGGAGGTGGCCGCAGGGGGGCCAGAGGGCGTCCTGGTCCCTGTAGGGGGTTAAAATTGTCCGTCTAGCGAGGGAGAGGAAGCCTAGCCCCGAGAGCCTCCACCGTGGTTCTCAGGGACACGACTCCTTCTTCGCGGGGCCTGGCCTGGCTTGGCTTGGCCAGACCTCACTGTCAAGATCTCCGTTAGGTCTGCTGGGGTGTGGGGCTGGGCAGTGGGAGGGAGACACTGTCCCCACCCTGGGACCAGGTGCCAAAGAGGCTGTGCTCTGAGCGCGAAGGTGCTGAGGCCGCAGCAAAGCAGAGGACAGGGTGGCCTGGCCACCACGGGTGCAGGAAGCACGGAGAGACCCACCTGCGAGGACCCGCGAGGGAGGAAGGAAAGGGAACGCAGAAGGAACAGGGCCTATGCCAGGGAGGACTGTGGCTCGACACAGTCCCTGGGTGTCCCTACATGCGGCGCTGTCGGAGGGCCACTAGACCCAGGGCCGCGGGAACGGGGTCCCCTGGGGACACCCGAGGAGAGGAGACCTCGGCCGGGCTGAAGCCGCGCTCCCGAGCCCGCCCGCATGCTTCTGGGGCCACCCCATCTGCGTTTCCCGGCGACTGTGAATAGCAGGGGAGAAGCAAGGATGCAGGCCCAGCATATGCCGGCAGCTTCTCCAATGTGGATATGTCTGCTGGTCTGGGGACAGGCTGGCCTTAACGAAGCTGGACATCCTGGATGCCCTGGACGAGGTGAAAGTTGGCGTCTCGTACAAGCTTAACGGGAAGAGGATCCCCTATTTCCCAGGTACGGGGATGCCGTGGCTTCTCCCGTCTGTTGTGTGGGAAGAGGAGAAGGAACGGGTCTGCAGCCTGGGGGACAGGTGGGAGCCAGCCCCCGCTAACCCCAGACCCTGCGGGACCCTTAGGCACTGCCGAGGCCCACCTCCTGGGGGCCCTGGAAGCTCCCTGGGCAGGCATGTACCGCTCTGTGCAAATGTAAAGATGACTGTTTTACCTAAGAAACCACGGTTTTCAGTTATTTAAGACCTAAGGGGTTTCTGCTACTGTGCGTCCCTTCTTTTAGAAAGTACAAAGGCGAATGTTTTCTTGGATCTCACAGTTCCAGTTCTGCCCGCACCGCCCCCAGTGGCTTCTTCCCTGCAGCCCCCACTCTCCTCTGAGCTCATGTGTAGACTCCCTGCTCCCCTTGGCCTGTGTCCCCTGGCCCCACTGACCCCTGACCTTTGAGAAGGCACAGCGGGGGTATGGTGTGACCCCAGGGATCCCGGGCCCAGGGGAGCGTGCAATGAGGACCCCTCAGTAGACAGCTTGTTCCAGCACCTTCCATCAATAAGGGCTGGTTGGCGTCTACTGTGAGCCATGTGCCAGGAGCCATGGAGTCCTGGCTGGAGCAGGGTCCTTGCCCTGGGAACAGGACACAGAGATCCTTCAGGATCCCTTCATACTTCAGGACTCTTAGAATTTCCTAGTTGGGAGAAGGGGGGACACCTGAGTGGCTCCGTCGGTTAAGCATCCAACTCTTGATTTCGGCTTGGGTCATGATCTTGGGATCGTAAGATCAAGCCCCACATCGGGCTTTGTGCTCAGGGCAGTGTCTGCTGGAGATTCTCTCTCTCTTCTGCCCCTCCCCTTGCACACTCACTCTCTAAGTAAATAAATGGATAAATACAATCTTAAAAAAAAAAAAAAAGAATTTCCAAGCAGGGTCCATGGAATTCCTCAGCTGAGTCACCTGCAGAGGTTCTAGCAGAGCCCTTAGCAAATCCATGGCTGGAGTGGACGTGTCCCCTGGTCTGGCAGGGATACAGCCAATGGCAGAGAATGCTTACCCCCCCCCCCCC